TCATGCTTTTAATTAACCAAAACCATTATCCCAAGGGCCAACTATCAAACTAAGAAACACACTGAAATTCTCTGTACTTGTAACTTGAACTTCAAAAGAAGAGGATTTACATTCCCCTCCACTCCACAATTGGCCGGTTAAAGATGCCTTTAATGGAAATGGCTAATCACTGGTCCTAAAGTACCACATTCCAGCTGGTCTTTACATATAGCAAAGTTTGGAGATGTTTACAGCAATGCATTTCTCACCTTATTTGTCTTAAGGAAGGACTTGGCATCCCTCCAGAAATGCTGGAGAACAGCTGTCTCTAGAAATGGCAACAAAACAAAACATTGTCAGGACTTCACAATACAGATAAAAGTGATTGATCCCAGCTAACGCTGCATAGTGTTCTTGTGGGGATGCACTACCTCTTGCAAACTAAGCAGCTCTCAGAAACACTGAAAAGAAAACAGCAAGTACACGCCTGAAAAAGGTAACGGAATCACGAATATGTTTTGTAAAACCAAAGCTAAGTGCTTCATATACATTGTTTTAGTTAACCGCCCACAACAACTGAAAAGGTAGGCATTATCCCTAAAATTACAAAATCTGAAACAGCGCCGAGCTCCCTTATTACTTGTCTTAGCTAGCTGAAGCATCGGGTTCGAACCCAGTGGGTGGGTCTAACTCAAAACCAAGGTAATTCTACACCGTAGGCTCTTTCCGGCCCTCTTCCTCCCCCAAGGGCAACTCTTCAAGGGGCTACGCTGTACAGCTGAGTCACCCAGACCCTCTTCTAAAAAAGAAAAAGAAAGGAAAACACAGCAACAAACTCTCCATCTCACCCGGAACTGTACCTACCCGCCGGACATGGCTTTTACTTCCGCCTCTGGGGTCTGGCGCGTCACCAAGGGGCGGAAATGGACGAGACTAACTTCCGGCTGCGGGACGCGCGCAGAGGCGACGCCGCCAACCCTGCGCCCCCGGGCGGTAATCTCGCCATCCTCCGTAGCACGACGCGAGAGCCCGGCAGGGGGCAGCAAAAGACCGCGGTGAGCGCGGGAAATCGAACGCGGGGATTTTCCAGACGCCGGGGGCGGATGACCCGGGGGAATTGTAAGGTATCCACTGTTGGCCGGCAACAGGCAGTGGGACATTACATGAATTTTGCAATCTGATAAGGCGATTCCCAGTATTAAGGTGGTTAACACGATGCCGATGAACGCCTCGATGTTTGGTGCTGGAAACGCGTGTGTAAACAGTCCCAGATTCTTTCTTTCATGTACTACCTTGGAAATCCTGGAGTGTGGCTGCTAGTCTGAATTCAGCATGAGCCTTCGGGCTGGGAATCAATTCTCGTATACTTCGATTTACCTGCTTGCGGCACGAATTCAATTCTGGTTCTTTTGAAATTGTGACTGCTTTAGGCTATTTAAATTAAAGACTAGAAGCAACCTAAACTGAATATCCCCAGCTGACGTGTTTTGGCCACCTGTGGGCGCGTCGCCTTAAACCTCCCCTGTCCCTTCAGCCATCACCTGCCTGGTGACGGTGGCAATGAAGGAGTTAAAGCTTCAATTGAAGGCAATTCTACTGCGACCTCCAAAAGAAAGATAATATCTAGATTAATGAAGTAATCGTGTATGTCAAGTTATCCTCAGGAGAAAATGGTGGTTTGGTCTTTAGAAAAACAGAAAGTGAGGGAAAGGGGTTGCTGATCTTGAATTCTATAAGGAAGAATTTCCTGCATTACTACCTCCATTAGGGGTGGAAACCTAATGATAGAATTTTCCGTATCCCAGTTCTGTACCAGTGAGCCAAATTGTTTTACCCTCGCTCTTCCCCTTAGATTACAATATGCTTAGCTGATTTATTGTTGTCACTTTGTTTTGGATTAACTTTCTATTTTACAGGTTTATAAGGATAAAGATTTATCTTTGGGAATTTACATTACTAATAATCAGTCTATCTAGTAAGTGAAACTACTTACTGCAATTCCTCCAGGTAAAAAATAGTCCTGAAAAATTAGAAAGGGCTTTTTAACGTGAATTTCTAAAATCTGTTTTCCTTCCTCATGGAAGGAGCTCCTATGTCCAAGTTTATTATATATAAATATATAACTCTATATACATAAATATGTAAATATATACAAACTGTTTTACAATCAGAATGTAAAACAATTAAATTTAGGAATCATTAAATTTCAGACTCTAAGAAGACCTTTAAGATTATGGAGCCCCAATCCTCTCATTTTACAGATGAGAACATTGATACCCTTAGAGTGGGAGCCAGCAAGAGAATATATGTCTTCTGTAATTTATACCGCATGCTTTTTTGTACTGACAAGGATTATCAAGGGTCATTTCACACTACTTAGGCAACATCACCTAAATTTGTTTTTAGTGATATAGATAAAGGAGATTGTTTCTTTTGAAAATAAGTTTCATATTTCCCATACATATTATAAAATACTGAAAGAATAACAATAGAAATGTAATAGTGGTTGGGTTAGGATGGTTTTATCAATTAGGGTTTTTTCCCTCATATTTCTGCAATGATTTCTGAAATGTTGTCATTACCTCCAGTAAGAGCAATGACTACTACCTCATTGTCATTTGTGATGCATTATAGTAGCAACCGTATATACCTTGTCTGTGTTTTACTTATTTATTCAATGAACATATATTGAGCACATGTACATTCCAGACCCCGTTTTCAGGTTTGGGGATACAGAAGAAACCAAGACAGAGCCCCTATTCCCCTGGACCTCATTTCCAGAGGTAAGTCTTAATCTCAGCCCAAGTGTCTGCTCCTTTACATGCTTCCCACATCTGCCCTCCTCAAGACCATAGCTGACCCAATTCCCTACTATAGTGATGTAATTAAGAAAAAGAAAGTATGGTTAAAACAAGAGAAGGTTTAGGGAGAGGGGAAGCAGAGGAGATGACCAAAAGCAGGGTATAAAAGATGAAGAAACAAAGAGGAAAAAAGGATGAGATGAAGTAGTAACAACATGGTGGAGGGGAGTTTTTCCTAGAGGCTGTTTAAACTTTTCGTCTTGTTTTTTTTAATGAGGCCTAAATTAATTTGGGTTTTATGTCATATTTGTATCGTCATATATAATATCTCTGTTACAAGCTTCTTTCTTTTCTGAAATGATGGTGATATTAGATGGTATTTGTGTTTTTAAATGACCTTACTTGGGGAAAAGAAAAAATTGCCAAGTCTGTATTGGAACACTTCCTCCCTCTTTTTTTTAATCCAAAAATTTGTTGCAGAGGAAAAGCACAGACTCTGAAGCCCTCCCTCCCTCCCTACATTGGACTTAGACGCTCAGGAGCTGGGCCGAGAGTCAATTATAAATACAGAATCTGTGCTGTATTCAGAAGCACCTCTGCTGTGTTGTAACTAAGAATGTTTTTACTGTGCCATATGTGCCTGC